CTCTCCTTGTAGGAATTCATGATGTTGCACTTAATAGTACAAACAAAAAGTTAAGTAATTGTGTTTAAAATGAACAAATAAATTATGACAGAGAAGTTCAGATTTTGAACTTGAAACTGCCCAATACAGCCACTAAGAAACACCACTGGTCCACTCATCTTATCACATGCCTTGCTTAGCAGCACCAGAGTGTTTACAACCCGGCTTTCTTCCCCAGATCTCCCCAGCCTGTCGAGGAATCAGAACAAATAATCTGCTTCCCTGGGATCAAACCTCTTGGGAGTTACACTGCAGCTCTATCACAATCAGCCAAGCGTCCCTAGTAAATGACTTTACTTGTGAAGCTAATAAGAAAATGTTCAAGTGTTTTGTTCCTCTGTGGTTTGCTCCTCTTTTAGTTCTTCCTGATGGGATTATGAGGCTGTGTGAAAAACATATCAATAAAAGAAGAATAACATATTGAATGAAAGAAGAATGAAAAACATATTTAACAAAACACACTGCAGTATGTGTGATGTTTTACAGTAATTTGTTTTGGTCAAGGTTTCTTTGATTCAATCCTTATTAAACTTTGCAGATGATGACTCATTTTATTTCTACTTGGCCAACTACTATTTAATATCTACATGCTACCTCTTGGAATGATCATCCCGAAACATGGACTACACTTCCACTGCTACGCTGACGACACCCAGCTCTACATCAGCACTAAATCTCCTACTCCCCTTCCACCAGTGCCGCTTATCAATTGCCTGAAGGACACAAAGAACTGGATGGACAGTAACCTCCTCAAACTGACAACAAACTAAACAGCACTCATGGTGTTTGCCCCACAGTCACTTCTCAAAAAGGTTGGTGATATCACACTGGACGTGGATGGCTGCTCAATCTCTGCATCCCCTCAAGTACGCAACCTGGGCGTCATCATCGACTCCACCCTCTCCTTCCAACAGCACATCAAAAACACTACTAAAACTGCCTTATACGATCTTAAGAACATCTCCAGACTCCGACAGTGCCTCTCCAACTCTGTAGCTGAGACCCTCATCCACTCCTTCATCACCTCCCGACTTGACTAATGTAACGGTATCCTGTTCGGTCTGCCCAACAAGGCTACTGACAGACTCCAGTATATCCAGAACTCTAGGATGCTCACCCACACAAAACTTGGACTGCACATCACTTCCATCCTGAAGAAGCTTCACTGGCTGCCAGTTAAGTCCCGGATCAAATATAAAATCCTCCTCCTGACGTACAAATCTCTCCATGGACTTCAGTACCTCATCTACTCCATCCCTACACTCAGTCACGGTCCCTGTGGTCCTCTGACAAGGACCTGCTCGCTGTCCCTAATTCCAGACTCCGGACATTTGGTGACAGAGCCTTCTGTTTCGGTGCACCATCACTCTGGAACAAGCTTCGTCTTGCCATCCGCTCTGCCTCCTCTCTAATAACCTTTAAAAAACAGTTTAAAACATACCTCTTCACTGAGGCCCATGGGCTTTAATCTCCTCTGGCCTCACACCTTTTACCAACAAGTTTACCATCCTAGAATGTTAGTATGCTGACATTTACAGTCATGTGAACACAAAATACAGCTGTGGCTAACAGGAATGTCATTCATTTTGCAGGTAGTTTCTCTTAAAGCAAAGTATTGGACAAAATAAAATCTTTTCCAGATGATGGTGCTGGACAAAAAAATCAAGGGATCCCCAAAGTCAGTTCAGGTCATCCTCTGGACAACATGAATGGCTGTACAAAATTTCCTGGTGTTCCCCCTAGTAGGCTAGGTGTTGACATCCAGAGAGCCATGGTGCAAGCATGGCTAAAAAATATAAAAATCAAACAAAAATACAGAAATTTAGCCAGAAAAAGATATGTGTGACACCCTAAACATTACATCTGGAAAAGAAAAATCTCTAATGTGTTGGAAAGTGATGTAAAATGAATATAGATGGTACAATATATGTTCTAAGTCTAAATAACGATGGTTTTCTCAGCAGCAGGCTGTAGTTTAATATGCAAAGCCCTGTGGCCTTGCTGCCACAAATTGCAGCCTTTCAGCTGTTACTGTATGAAATGTGCTCCCAGTGACCCTGCCTCTTGTGGTATTACATCTGACAAACAGCCCTTCCACAAAACATCGCCTAAATTTGTCTCTGCCCTTTTCACACTGAGGACATGATGGCAAAGGGAAGCCAGCAGCAGATGGCCAAAAAGGCTTCCTATTTTCACAGACTGCTAATTAGAGCCCTCACCACGGCTCACCTTTAATGTCAGCCACAGACTGCTTTTAGCGCAATTAGTCTAATGGAGTCCGGGCCTGTGAATAGCCTGTAATGTTTAGTACGGGCCAGCCGTTGCATTGGAGTTTATGCATGTCAAAATAAAGGACAAGAGGGGTCTATTGCACTGCAGATCCATTTATCATTGCAGCCGATGGAGGACGAGACAGTAACCATGATTACCAAGAGAAACTATTTAATTAGATGCATTAATAATTGAACTAATTAGCTCCCATGTGCCTCAAAATGAAGAGGGAACCCGGAGCTTCACTTGCACCTCATCAGCTGATTAATTAGTCTGTTGATCGTTAGCTGTCTTGACGGACTATATGCGATCAGATGAGAGGGTGGATAATGAGGGAATTGTCGGTCGATGGTGCTGGTTAATTAGTGTGACCTGATCCAGGGGCCATGTTAGAACAGTTGTTTATGCCACAGCTTCTAATGAGGAGGATTTAGGGCCGGATGATCTACTTGGAAGCAGTCTCTAGTGTTGTTTATGGACTGGAGTGAGTACTGGCCTTGAAAACACCAACGAAAATCACTATAATGTTCCAATAATCAATCTACAGAAACTAATAATGCCTCTGTGGTGCTCAATATTAACTTTAAATAATCACCATACCATACATTGTGGTATTTAGATTCCTAGTAGGCTATAGGTCTGGGACTCAACACTGAGTTCCAAGGCTATTTATATTTCATCTGTGGTATAATACTAAAATGTTTTTTAGCTGATTTTATCTCCAGTATCCCTGTAATATTCAGGACTTGTAGTATCTTAGTACTCTTACAGTTCATAGGACTGCTAGATCTGCCATTGAAGCTTAGTGGTTTATCTTATTTATAAAATATTCCTACAAACAAGTGTAGTTCTACAACTAGTCTTTGGAGTTTAAATCCCATACTCCTATAATATTCCTATACCCTAATTATCCTACCAGGGTCTGTAGCATAATAGGTCAACTAGTGAGCTCATAGAGCTGCTGTCTGGTATTTTTAGGTTATCTCCTTAATATTCCTACAAGGACCAGAAGTTTGTTCATTTATTGACTTTATATCTGTGGAGCAATAATTCCTATAATATCCCTTGACCAAATCACCCCCATCATTAATTTTAGTGTTTTTATTCATGCTGCTATTCTTTTATAATATATAATATAATATTCATCCACCAGTCTGTAAGATGATCTAAAAGTGAATGTATCATGACATATAGCTGTCTTTTTTTTGGGTAGTGTAGCCTACTACAAAATCACTATAATATTCCTAAGGAAGAACAGTTTATGTCTACTTTATTTGTTGTGTCTAGTTTTAGGCAAGTTAATTTATAGCAAAATCTATAGCTGATTTAGTATTATCTCCTATACCTCAATAACACTATAATACTCCTAAAACGACTTACAGTATTATTGAGTTTAAAGTCACTTTAGAGTCATTATCATTCAGGGACTTCATAATGGTCTACTATGTAAAGTACTTATAGTGGACCCACCAACTGCTAGCCCTATAGAGCATGCATTCCTATAATATTCATATAACTATTTATAAAATTACCACAAGGGTCTGTAGCAGCTTTCGATTTTTTATAGTAGCTCTACTCTTTATTTGTTCTTAGTCTGTTGTTTTGAGTTTATAGTTATTTTATAGCTAACAATGTCTTTTAATCATGTATACTATAACATTCCTGTAGTATTTAAGGCTTAGGTAAGAAACTCATAATTGATTTTTAGTGTTTTTATCTTATATTTCAACAATGTTACTCCTATAATATTCCTTCAAGGACCTGTGATAGAGTTGAGAGACCTATATAGTATATGTAATGTATATTCTATATAAACAGTCAACCCTACTCAAGCAAACAGTAGAAGTATTCATTGTGCAGAATTGCCTGTTTCAGAATAACGTATAGGCTTTTACCTTGTATTATAGTTATTGATGCATCACTTTAATGTTGCAGCAGGTATATGTGGGGATTCTTTTTAGCCTAAGCCTACTGCTGGTTTGCTTATGAATTTCACCAAGGGATCAATATAGTAATCTTTTAACCTATAATAGCCTATATTTGCCGATTACATTTTGTATTATTAATCTGTATCTGCAAAGCAACTAACGTTACTAAATAAATGTAGTGAAGTAAAAAGTCTCTCTGTTTCTTCTCTTGTGGAGCAGAAGATGGAAATACTCAACTAAAGTAGCTACAAGTACCAGTACATATGCAACTTGAGTAAATGTACTTAGTTACTTTCCACCACTAACCTCATCTAAGAAGATAAGACGAGTAAGAAATGAACACACGGAATATAGCCTATCACACGCACGTACCACACTTAAGCACATGCGCGGAAAGGCGCTGCATCTGCCGCGCTGAAAAGCCACTGCTTTGACTACAGGGCACCCTGGAGATAATTGGTGTCCTTGGAGTTGAATAAGCTCATTCTAAAACACCTCAGGCCTGGGCTGTCCTGGTGTGTGACTGTCTATTGAATAATTGATTCAGAGAGGGAGGTGGCGGTTACCATCAGATCTGAACATAATGACTTTATATAATTAGCACGCAGCGTTGAAAAAAACATTTGACTGTGGGAGTTTTTTGCAGAGAGATAGAAAGAGGAAGAGAGAGCGATAGCCTACAGAGAGAGAGAGAGAGAGAGAGAGAGAGAGGGAGGGAGGGAGGGCTATGATACAGTCTATGGCTATGAGGAGGTTCAGTCTGCAGAGGAGCTCGTTTGAGGTTGAATAGCTGCAGCCTGACACTGAAAAGCTTGTGCTCTGACATCAGCTAAGATAAGGCACAGATACTCTTCATATGAGGACACCTCTCCTACCGGCAAGGTGATACCCGAGGACGCTGTTTTCATCCAACCACGAGATATTTTTACGCATGAGACACAGACAGCGACTCAATGGCTGTTTCTCTGGGCTTTCTTCTGGGTCATGATGAGAGGAGCTGAAGTTTGAGCGACTCCGCGTTGAGACTGTATACAGAGCGGCAAAGCCCGTGTGTGTTTATTATCGCTCTTCGGGCGTGTTATCGCGCACGCAGGAGAAGAAGCGGTGGCATTTCTCCTGTTGTTGGATTTTTGTCGGTTTCCAGAAGGATGGTGCTGGATAAGGAGGAGAGTGAGTACAGAGGACTAAGATGCATTTCTCTGTGTGTGTTATTTATAAAACAGGACAACAGAAAAAGGTTTTGTGGACTGGGAAGGATTGTCTGCAACAAAACATTAATTAAAATCAAGATAGTAGAAAACAGATATTCCCCCAATGTTCATGTCAAATGTAGTCTGTGAAATACTTTTATTAAGAGAATGATGAGTTTGGCTCTTTACTAAAACAATGGTTGTTCTATTTTCCTCATCATAATAGGCTATTTCTATACTGGATAACATTAGTTGTTAATTTTAAGGTGACCTAACTGGTTATTTTACTGTAGAGACTAGAGACTATGTTTCTTGTATCTCCTGTGATATCACTGCAGAATGTTTCTGTATTATTGATACCTTTGATCATTACAATATTCTTATAAATTCAGTTGTTAATCATGACAGACTTCTTTGCTTTCAACATATTCCCAAGAGAAATGTAACCCACTCTGTCTCTGTGCTTGTCTTTGTCACTCTGTCTACCTGTTGTTTCCTGCCAGGTGTGTCTCTCGTGTCCCTCCAGTCCAGAGAGAAGCCGAGGGGCTGTGCCGGCTGCAACGGGAAGATCCGGGACCGCTTCATGTTGCAGGCGTTGGACAGGTACTGGCATGAGGACTGTCTGAAATGTGCTTGCTGTGACTGCCGCCTGGGCCGGGTGGGCTCCACCCTCTACACCCGGGCCAACCTCATCCTCTGCCGCAGGGACTACTTGAGGTAACACTGGACTTAAAGAGGGAAAGGAAAATGACTGGGTGTATCATGCAGCTTCAAAACAAATCATCCTTAAAGTAGATACTGTATAAGATTGGAAGAGCTGACTGTAGATCCACTCACGATCCAAGTAAAAGGGAATAGTCTGATAATGTAGGTTATCAGGGCAACTGTGAGAACAGAGGTAAAAATTTTCCATTGAGAATCACGTGGAAATTTAAAATGGAAAGTGTGCAGTGTTATAACTTGAGGACAGTCATAGACACAATGAGCCGTCTTGCTTTGCCATCAAGATTCTACCTGAGAAATACAATGCATGCATGTACCGCTACTAGTAACTGTTCTTAGTTAGCTTTCCAAATGACTGTGACTGTTTGACTAAACTATCATGCGTCAACTCGGATAAAAATGTTGTTAATTTGCTAATTTAGTAAAGCGTTCAGTCAAAAAACAAAGATTAAATAGCCAAACTGTTCAAAATTTCCCAAACCGTTCACACTGTTTTTGCCCCAGGCTTTGCAAAACCTCACAGAAAATGTGTCATGTTTCTTAGAGAAACTACAAAATACCTCAATGAATAAATTAAATTTAAGTTCAAGCATGTTTTACCCATGTTTGGAATCTGCTGCTCAAGTCTATTTTATCGCATTATATTGGGACTCCTCACTAAGCATTAAAGTCTATAGTGAACACTTACTTTACAGCCTTCTACTTGAAAATGGTTTATCTTGTGTAGGGACATTTAGCTGCTGCTGAATCCATGTATTAAAACGCAAAAACATGACGTTCTTCAAAGTATGAAGTAGTTTTAAGGTGAAGGGCTCAAGAGAGCTGATAACAAGAGCAAGTCAACAGCGAGCTTAAACAGTTTGGACTGAAATGTAACCGTTTTTACAGTAAAAACACAATGCTGACCTTTCATTATGTTTCAGTCTTTGTTAAAGGCACACAGAGTGAAGCCAGAATAGTGGAACAAGTGGGTTATTATTTTATTCAGCTTTCTCTGATCTTTTACCCTTTTTAATGAACTTTCCTGCCAATTTTACTTATTTTTCAGGCAATAAAAAGTAAAAAGAGATGGAAAGTTGGCATATAATATGCATCAATACCACGCTCTTGAGGATGTTATGGAATAGGTCAACATTTGGGAAATACGCTCATTCGCTTTCTTGCTGAGTGTAAGTTAAGAATATTGGTGCCAGCCTTATGTCTGTATGGTAAATATGAAGCTGGAGTCAGCAGTCGGTTAGTTTAGCTTAGCATAAAGTCTGAAAACAGAGAGAAACAGCTAGCCTGGCTCTGTCTGTGGGCAATTTGCTCTTTCAAGGGGGGTTATGAGCCAGACTATGTCTTAAAGGCTGAGACCAGAAACTTTCTAGAGTCTCTATTGGTTGCCTGGCACATGCTCAAAGGCAAGAAATAGTACAGCCCATAACACCCTGTAAAAATACAGTTCGGGTATTTGTACAGATTAAACAAGCGAGATATGTAATCATTTAATTAGTGAGCATTAGAGGTGCTGGTAGGAGGATTTTGTTCGGAGAGAACTAGGCTAGCTGTTTACCCCTGTTTCCAGTCTTTTATGCTGGCTACATAATTAGTGATATCACTTTCTGAACTTTTGGCAAGAAGGCAAATAAGAAAGTTTCCAAAAAGGTGTAACTATCGCTCCAAAACAAAGAAACACCATACTGAAGTGTGTACTATGCTCTATAGCATCTGTCATGTAATATGACAGGAGTTTTATAACACTTCACACACTCTGAAGCACTTCAAACACTTTATAAACCCTTCAGATTCAGGTTTTAGACGGTCTGAACAGCTCCTTTATAAAATCTTTAGGAGTGAGGTTTTTCATCATCCGACCTCTAGTGTATGTGACTTACTACACAAAGTATGCTTTAAATATACTACTGATTTAAACAGGTTTCCACCTTTACAATCTTTTGACCATGAATCTTGACGACACCACTTATATACAAACCTAAATCTTGCTCCAGTTGCTCTTCTGAGAGTTATGTAGCCTTCATTTTTGTGCCTGAAATAATGACGTCTGGTGTCAGGTCAGCAGGAGAACTCCTGATATCTCAGCCACAATGCTGAACTCATGTGTTAGTCTCATGTACAATCCAGCTGGATTTGGTTGGAGCTAAGTCTCTCATTAGCTGCACTGCACTTAAGAGACCAAAACCCCTTTTGACAGTTAAATTGGCTAGATTGCCTCCTGTTTTCCTCATCATTGCAAGGGTGCAGACCAAGAGCCTTTGAAGAGCAGGATTAAAACCATGTGATTTCTTTTAATTGGACCATTAGTAGAGAATTAGCATTGAGCTTCATAGCCTCGTTAAGGAGAAGGAAAAAACCCACCAGGTGCCTGCTCAGAACTCAGACTCGTTAGATCAGAACATTTGGTTAATTAGGACTCGCTTTTGTTCCCGTGTTGATCACTCATTTGATGACGTTTTTCATTTGTCGTCTGAAGCTCATGCTCAATGCTTTCCTCCCTCCTTCTGTGGATGTCGTTTTTCATAACGGTTCCTCCCTTAACCTCCTTTTCTGTTTGGCTTCTAATGGAATATGGAAAGCAGCAGCGGCCACTTATCTTCATGCGTGTCTCTTGGGGAGCCGTTTGTTCGTTTTTTTAGAGGTGAATGAGAGGTGAAGCAATCTGCAGCTGGTCAGCACTGAGTCACAGAGTATTTGAAAACAACACAGGGATTGTTCTCAGGTAGTTTGAGGACAGAGTTCAAATGTTGTCACATAAATTGTAAGTTTCAGAAGACTGTAATAAACTGACTCTCAAGTTCTTAACTGTGATGTCAGTGCAATGTCCTATGAGGCAAAAAAACCATCCATCGGCTTCTTAAAGTATGTTACATTGTCATATAAATGTAGACATTTTAATATCAGTGAATCATCTTTCTGCTTTCTATAAGCAGCTGATATAATGCGATAGTTCACAGCAAGTGAAGCATTTGAAGTTTTCCACAGCTGCAGCAGAGATTTGTTTTGAATAGATAAAAACCAAAAAAGTAGTAAAAGAACAGGAAAAATAGGAAGACCATTGTTAAGATATAAGAATGCACTCACATTATTCCAAGACTGCATTGCTAGATCTTTAATCACAGCAGATGCACCAACACAGCCTAAATGAGCTCTTTTCACTTTTGGTGAAGGTGACCATGCGCACATACTTTGAAACTAATTAATTTTTTGTGAAAGTAGCTATTTATATTGTCACACATTTCTAGATGATTGTTAACAAGTTGAACCAGATATAGATATATAATTAATGAATCACTAATAGGTAGTTCCTGGATAACTCTGAATCTAGGACTAAATGTTAAGTTACTGGAGAACATACTTTGAGAAACTATGTTAATGAAACTGAATGTAGGCTAATACATAACCAAAAATCAATGAGTAGTTTTGTCGATTCACAGATTTAGGAGTTAATCATTACGAACTTAGTAACATCTCATTATCTGCGGTATATACTCTCAATTTAGCCCCTACTATTTGTCAGTTAGCTCCTGATTTGTCAATTGTCACCTGGATACCGACTAAAAATATTTTGGATTCTGTATTGTAAGGTGTTGTCAATAATCTGTCAAGGATATATAGCTTTATATATCCTTGATAGCTTTATATAGCTATATCTTTCATTCATGTTAGCGGCTCCATGGATGGCTATTGGTTGGCTTGAAATTTTGGTTCAGACATTTAAGATGGTGAACATGGTAAATGTCAACATGTTGATCTTTGTCTTGGCAATTAACATTAGCTTGATTGTATCATTAATACTGTAAGAATTACAACTAAGATGCTGATGAATGTTTCTTCCCACTTGGCTGCTCGCAATTACGATCCATAAGATATCATGTAAGCGCTGCATTAGTAGCAGCAGCAACACGCCAGCAATAATCTGTAGGAAAACAAGTGATTATTTCCAAAAAGTGCATGAGCAACATCTGTAACTCTGACTCAGATGCAGGGTCCTGTTGAACTACTTTCTAGGTTTATCCTCCTTTTAAGTGTTTTTTTTTCCCTCTTCAGCTCTTGGCTGAAATTTATCTAAGTGCGTCCAGACTACAGGTCTGCTTGTCGCCCTCTTTCCCTCTTCAGGCTCTTTGGGGTGACAGGGAACTGTGCAGCCTGCAGTAAGCTGATCCCTGCCTTTGAGATGGTGATGAGAGCCAGAGACAACGTCTACCATTTAGACTGCTTCGCCTGTCAGCTCTGCCGCCAGAGGTAAGATTAGGGGAGCAATTAGCCGGGCAGATCAAATTCAGTTGACTTTTCTGGGAGGTGTACCAGTGAGCTCACTGGTCATTACCAGAGCATGTTACCAATGCATTGTAGTCAGAACGTGATGACATTTACTGCACAGTTTGAAACCTCAAGGGTTTAAAGACTTTGTATATCACTTGGATAGTTAATCAGACAGCAATCATGCAAGATTAATTTTCTGATTATCATAACAGGGGATGCTGAAAATATGCCTGTAATGCTCCTCTGGGACCTCATGATTCACTTAAGCTCAAGCAAGACCCAGTTCCATATTTTTATTTCTCTCTGCAGATTTTGTGTGGGAGACAAGTTTTTTCTCAAGAACAACATGATCCTGTGCCAGCTGGACTATGAAGGAGGCCATCTTAATGGCAGCACAGAGAGGCAGCCTCAATAAGAGGTAATATTGCGATGACGATGAATTACAGTCCCAGCCAGCTGCTCTGACAGTTTGACTTAAACCATGCGCAGAGATATCTGGAAAGTATACAAGTGAGCGCACAAGCTCATCCCAAATATGACCATATGTAGACATGAGACTTCAAACCCTGAGGCTGCTGACATTAGCAAGAGAATCAATCCCAAGATACGTTGTAGCGTATTTCTGCGTTATGTGACGTTTAGTATGGATGCGTATGTTAAAGCTGGTGTAGGCAATGTTGGAGAAACTAGCAAGAGACAGATAGATTTTGATAGTATCCAAAGCAAGAAATCCTACCCCTTCCCTTCAGACCTCCCTCCAAAGCTATTCCCCCAAAATACATTGTCATGGCAGTGAGTGCATGGGCAGAGTGCGTGCAGGTAGGTCATGTGACAGCCACGGATTTCCTTCATTTTTGTGTCCGAGTCAAAGATAATTCAATCCATGTGTCATATTAGGTTAAAATCTCCACTGATTATTTCAAAATATCGACACATAATCAAATGACTATGTTAAAAGGGGAAACTGTTATAACCTCATGACCCAACTCTGCAGCACTATGAAGCTTTTTAGTTACTTTTAGCTCATTGTTTTGGTTTAAGGAGCATTTGCTGTGTAGATTAGTATCACAGCTCAACAATGTGAGCGACTAGCTGGTGAACAAAAACACAACAAAACTGGGACAGAAAGACAACGATGCTCCCTGTCGAGTGGACCTGTCGTGCAACATTGCTTATACGCTAAGCAATTCTCAAGGGTCTGAAGTAAATTTTGAATCCTGACATTCCCCAAAATAAATGGAAAATATATATTTTATTATGAAAAAGTCATCAAATAGATCTTTAAACACACAATAATCCTAAATCACAAGTGTTTCTTCCACTGTAAATGTGTCCTGTTTGCTCACATTCTGAATGTAGAATAACTGGAAGGGCCGAATAAAAACGTGAATCTGTACTCCCTAATGTCTATTTCTTCTTCTTCATATGCACAGTTGCTGTGGCTGGAGACCTTCTTGACATTCTGTTGCTGAGAAATATATTTTAAGGGTATATTTTAAGATTGACGGTTTTTCTCTTAACTTCTTCTCACAGACTCCCAACAACAATGATGTGGCATACCTTCAGAAATATGACATTTCTGCTGCTGTAGTTGGAACATTATTAAAAATTGTGTATTTTGAACAGAGAAGATGAAATATTATATATTTATTTCTGTTCTCTCTCATTCATTTGCTCCAAGCATCACAGCATTATTTTCTGGAAATCACATTTTTTAAACAGTTACCTCTCATTCCCACTGGAAGAGACCAAGTTGCCTGCAGGTTTAATCACATCTAAAGGCCTTTTGTAAAGCTTTAAACAGCAGACAAATGAATTCTGAGCCTCTTGATGAGCGTAGGCGGTGGTGAGCTGTGAGGGCAGATGGGAGAAGTTTGAAAGCAAGTGCAGAAAACTACAAAATCCACAGTTATGAGGGTTTCAGGGTCTGCCTCGGTTCAAAAACATACCCTAAAGCCACCAGCAGCCCAACCTATTATTATGATACTAAGTCTACCACTACAGTTCATAAAATACAAAACACCGCACTCGATGGACTCTGGAAACGGGGAGTTTTTACTTTAGGTTGGTTTTAGGTCTTCTAGAGTTCATGTTGAAACAACTTTAGACTTTGGGTGACTATTTTCCTTCTTCTACATTTGATGACTTGACCAACTCTAGAGGTTTTAGTCAATTTTATTATTAAATGAGGGGAGAAATTAGGGATCTTTAGTGATGAGATTTGTCATTTGCTGTATGTTTTGTTTGGAGTGCGTTAAAATGGGAGTCTACTCGACACTGTAATTTTGATAAAATGGCTACAGGGAAGTTTCTTTTGGCTTTCTGACCCAAATAGCTTTGTTGACTTTTGTCAAAGACTTAAATGTGACCACTGGACCACTGCTTTTTATATGTATATTTGTCTTGAATTATATCTGACATGACCTTCATGTACCTGGGTTATAGGTAGATGTAAAGAAAATAATGATCTGATTCTGCATTTATTTTAAATACAACATCAATGAAATCGAATTGTGAAACATAATTAATTAAGTGATGTTTTGCTTCAGTGGAAATTACTTCTACTCAACACACACACAACCTCAGGGAATGCTGCATTTAGGCTCATTAATCTCCCTTAAAGGATAAGGCTGGCAATATTCTATATTTTTCTACTAACAAGTATCGCCTGTGCACCCAAAGCCTGATATGTCTTATTCCTCACTCACTATGCCACAGAGCTCCATTGCTGTCCATTAAAACACACCAGTGAACCAGTTGCACTGACCTAATCCTTCATTACCATGAATACTGTAGTTTATTTTGACTCACTGCCACATACTGCTGCCTGTAAATACTCATAAGAGCACCAAATGTTTCTTAATCTGCAGTTCAAAATAGTCCCTAACAAATGTACTATGTACACCTGTTTGATTAACTTTGCTAAAAACAAAAAGTTTTTCTATGAAATCATTTTTTTTTAACATGAAGCTATATATTTGTGGTGCATTTTTGGAGATTTATATCTCCAGTAGGGACCACATAGTGTAGGAAAGTTTGAAAGTTTTGAGAAAGAACAACACATGGTTAATTTTGGACTATGAGTTAAATATAGAATAACGCCTGCCTTATCATTTAAAAGAGAAGACACAGAATTAAAAAATATATAAGTTAATGTTAATTTGCTCATTTGTAAATAAATTAGTTTAGCGTAAGAAAGCGGTGCTGTTTGGGTCCCCAGAGGAGAAATTTCTTGTGTCCGAAGCAGTTTATCATTTAAATGATGCTTTAGGATTTACGTTAATATTTTTCTTTGACTTCCTCAGTTAAACAATCCAATTGTTGGCATTAGAAATAACACGAGTATATTGCAATCGTATTTATACTTCATAAATATTGTACACAATGTCTGCAACGTAGCAGATCATTTCATCCTCGGGCAAGTCAAGATTTTCATTCAAGATAACTTGATTTAATCAGGTACAGTAGTCTCAAATCCATGTGTCTCTGAGTCCTGAAAACAATAAACATTCACACAATTGGCAAACAAGCATGTCTGCAGCCAGACATCCAACACTGACGCAACAAAATAAAATGACAGTAAAATGTTTAAATTTCCAAGGGGGATGAATGAATTCTATTTAAAAGGTAAAATATTATTTATTTAATTTAAAACAAATGGGATACTGTTATAAAATGCAGTTTACCTTCATATATGTCAGTCTTGAGTTACCATTTAAGCTATTTATCTAATCCCTTTGCATCTAAAACTGTCATATTTTGAGCATTAGATTGCCCTTGTCTTTGAAATATAATAAAGCAGCAAATCCCATGTGTGCATACCATGTACCACAATTTATTATAAGACAAATAACTTTTCGGTTATATTCCTCAATTAGTGGACACGTAAAACTGATCATATGTTTTTATTGAACCTCTAAAACCACACAGAGTCACCTGGAGCTGTTTTATATTTTCTTTCTCTGCAGATCAGAGCAGGCCGTCTGTGAGCCAGTTGGACTGTGAAACTCACAGAAGCACCTTTGGCTCATCAGCTTCCTGTTTCAGACTGAACCAGTGTGTGGAAACGACCCTGATATACTGGGACATGTTTCTAGCAGCCCATGATTGAACTCTTTATTACAGAGCTGCATAGTAACTATCCTGAAAACTGACATTTCTGACCAGATGGACCCAACCAGGAAAATAAATAATAAGTGAAGATGGAATAATGAAACCATCCGGTTTCCAGAGAACTTAATGTGGACTGTGGTTCTACATCTTTTTTCCCTTTTCTTTTTCCTTTTTACATTTAACAAATAGAGCAACTAGTGATTGCAAATGATTTGAAGGAGTCTGTTTACCAAACTTTAAAATACTAGGTGGCTGGAGGGAAGCCAATCAGGCCACACATAGCATCAACCAAGTCATCCATTACAGAGAAAAATACAAAGTTTACTTTTTTAAACTTCCCTCTGATTGCCACTGAGCTCTTCTTTGTGGTAAACCCAGCCCATCTGGCATGTAGGAAACTTTTTGCTAATATTGGTTTGGCTCAGTTCAACAACTGAGGAAGATGAGCTGTCTCTCCTTCATCTTTCTGCCTCTCGACTCTCAAGACTTTAACTGAACTGTGTGGCACGTCAAACCCACCATTGTTTTGCTTTCACCCTGATCTCAAACAGATTTTTTTTCACGACTAATTAAACTGAATTTTAATTTCCGTTTGTGTGTGCTCATTATTTAGGTACTGAGATGACCGAATTGTTTAAAGTTCCCCTCCACACATTTTATAAAATATTACAAAAAATACTTTAAATAAGAATTTATCTGATGTGGTTTTTCAACAACAAAAAAGTTCAATAAATGACTTAAAATTCTTTAAATGACATTTGACTCCTTCCAGAAGATGTGAATATGCTAACATAGTGTATTATAGTGTCGAACTCTGCACGTACATCATTCTGCACAGTGAAGGTCAAACATCCAGGAGGAGTAACCATAAGCAAAACACATTTTTTGAGTGGAGGGGAATTTTAAATATCTTCTTGGTATAATCTCAACATTTCATGCTTTGTTAAAATATTGCTGAGATAAAGGAACAGCCTATTCACAAGCTTAATTAGCAGCTGTATTTTGAGGATGAGGGCATCAGATATTATCAAGATCTCTTATTTCATGTGAGACAGAAACCACTTTTGGTCCAAACACTATTACCAAACCCCTGATCCCTGTTTGATAACATGGTGTTATTTTAGAGAGGATAATCAGTGCTTGATTTTACTTCAGATAGAGTTGCATTCTGTAGATAGCGAGAAAAACATACCTTAGATAAAATTTACATGAAGTCTTTTATCATCCCTGTGCAGAAAATTGATGAGGCAAAGCAGTAAGAGGATCTAGTATGAGGAAGATTGTACAGAAATAATGTAGCTGCGTGACTAAATACAGAACAGTACTGCAGATGCAAAATATACAGTATTTAGTTCAAGTTAAGTGAAAACTCAATACACAAAGATGTTTTCAATTCATTACAAATTAAAACCATTAAGTATACTTTTGACTGTTGGAACCAGTGTAGATCTCAGAGATTATGTAGATTTGCATCATAGCAGATGCTGATTTTTACACATACACGCCTACAGAAAGTGTGTTGATGTCTATTGTAAACATTACTACTCGTTTGCCTTATTCAAGGGAGTTAAATGATATTAGTGGTACTTTTATTTTTTTTTACAAGTCTGCTAAAATTAAATCAGACTATGTTTTGAGGAACCCCCTCTCCTCCTCTCCCACACTCTTAACACGCAAGAAAAACAATTTACATTTACCAAGTTACAAACTTCATAAGTAGAAGAACGGACAGACAAACATCAATATTGCCTATATAAAATACTAACCCTAAGAATGATGTGTATAAAATTTTAACAAGGTTGAGAGTAATTATCGGGTAATTAATTTTGGTACTTTTGAGCTTCAACATGGCTGTAAAAATAAACACTGAATTTTTTTTTTATCCTATGTGAAATTACTTGTTTGTAGGACAATATTCACTATTACATACAGAAGCCAGTGGTGGAAAGTAATTAAGTACTTTTACTCAAGTACTGTACTTGTAATTGTGAGGTACTTGTACTTTACTTACTCTACAACTTTTATCTGATCAGCTATAGCTACTAGTTACTTTTCAAATTAACATTTTTAAAAATGTATGATAAGCATATAAAATACATTGTTGAAGATGATCATAATATCAGAGCCTTTTCTCATTTCATCTACCATTAATGATCTCACAGTCCCTCAGATTTAACCCCTAGACTAAACTACCTAACAAGGGACATGGTAGTCTACAAGGTAGATCTATCTACCATTTACTACCTTTATGCTCACAAAAACAAAGGTTATATACAAAAATGATGTACAGTAGATGGGTGAATAAATAATAAGTAATAAGTATTTAAAGTTGTTAAATCTAATTCTACCTCCAGCAGCTACAACAGTAAAATAGTGCATCTACACATCTACTAATAATGTAACAGAGTATTTAATGAGACGTCACAGGGGACATTTTACTGCAGTAAGTACTTTTCCTTTGATACTTCAAGTACATTTACTGATAACAGCCTACTTCAATTCTTTCCTCAAGAAACATTTTGAATGCAGGACTTTTACTTGTAATGGAGTACATTCATATTAATTTATTGGTACTATCGGAATAAATGATCGGAATACCTCTTCCACCGCCTCGAAATGCAATACTTAAAGAACATTATTGCAAAACGGGGAATATAGTGTACATGGAACAAGCAGAAATAGGCCTATACAAAACAGTATACAGGTCAAAGACATAAATAACAATAACATTGCCAAGTGTAGTATATATTGCGTAAGGATATTTATAGGCCTAGAGGTCCACATGTTAACAGTTTCCACAGCCTTTTCGTTGTTGGATTTAGAAATAAAATTTATATAAGTTATGTTTTTTACTTCTGAATTTACATTTATGAACGTGAAATTTTGCCATTAGAATAAATACATTTATTATAAAGTGCTTACTTTCTTTTCATAAAAGCAAAATACCACATCCTGCCACATCAATCCAAAATCTCTATAAATATGGTCATTTTGCTAAGTTTTGCCAGAATTTTCTGGTTTGTAAACAATGCCAAAAAAGGTGCAAAACAATTTCTTGGTTATCTTCACAGAAAGAACAGTTTGTATTTACGTCTCTTTTAAATTTAACCATGTAGTGTAGTGTAGTGTAGTGAGTGTTCCCTCAAGTATTTGTGAGAAAGCATCCAGACTTTTTTTCCAAGTCAATGTCATTTACAAATCAGTTCCACTGTGATATAACATAACAATTTCTTTCTGAAACAAGGCAAGCATAGGACATGGGGACACGTTCCCACCACTACTTAAAATGACTGATTTTGTCCTCATCACTTTTTAAAAGCATTTGTAAAAAATGTTCAGAAAAATATCTTACAACGAGAAATGTTAAATAACAAATGAAAATGCGTTGAGAAAGGTTTAGCCTATTTGCACAATAAGAAAACAAGCAATGCAATTTAAATATAGAAGAAATAAATGTGCATTGTCTAAAAAAAGTAACTTAAGCTAGAAAAAAACTACTGCTTATAAAATGACCCCAAAACATGCATGCACCAGTAACTTTAACAACTTCTTGAGAATGTTTCCTTTTGGCCAAGTTTTCCATTCTCTCCCTGTGAACAAAACAAAGGTGAAGGGAAGACTAAAGCTGCCTGCAGGTGTTTTGACTCAGTAGGGATGATATCAAATGAAAAATGTTGATTTGCAAGAGAAACAAATCTGAAAGCAACTGCAGACACCTAATGCCTAAGAGCCTTATTGTATTGTATTCCATTATGTTTATATTTTTAATTGTCACCTGCCGCCTGAATTGTATCTTTCCATTTACATGAATCAAAACATTTCCACCATAAAATGCAGAAATTGGTGTAGAAATTTCGGCACAATGCAGGAAATGAAGTGTTTAATGCTCAAATATTTACGCATTGAAGATTTCTTCAAAACAGTTTTTTCTAAATGCAGTACATATATATTGTTTAATCTATTCCCAGCCTGGAGAGCGTAAACAATAACATTAAGACGGCCCTTTGGCGCCACCCAGTGGTGAAACACACGAGTTACAGCGCCGGCGCACTTCCGCTCCTCCAGTCAACAAGGAGCTTTCAACCGATGGTTGACAAACGACATCGAGCAGCTTCCGTCTCCTCTGCTTTCTCACCATAATAATAATAATAATAATAACAGATATTCCAGTTTTTCTTTCCCCACAGGAAGGTGACCGTTTACTCGTCGGTATGGCGATGTCAACATTTCAGAAGGTGACCCTTGCGACGTGTCTCGTGCTTTGCGTCGCTCTCCTGCTTCCCAAGCTGCTGTTATCACGGGGGAGGAAGGATGCTGCTGAGCGGCCGGAGGGTGCGTCACCCTTCACTGTTTCTGTATATCCGTTAACATGTCTTCAGATCGATATGCGGTGGCTTTTCACATTGAAGACTATAATTTACTATATTTTAAGATTGTGATATGAGGTGTATTTTGGTATTTAAAGCCGCGTCTTCGTCCTTTCAGTTGCGTTTTCCTCCCTGAAGACGGCGCCAAATACACCGAGACACCTTTTTTGGTTTATTAGCCTGAGATATAAAAAAAAAATAGGCTATAAATAAATATTTATTAGGTACAGCGAGGTAAAACTAACGCACCCTACCTTTACAAAAAAAAATCGAAACACCTGCTAGTATTATCCAAGGAAGGTTAAAGTCAAGGGCAAATGGACTTGGTTGAAGATACTCGAAGAAGTTTCGTCTCTCAGCCATGAGACTTCTTTACTTCTGACTGACTGGTAAGGAAACTCAGGTATTTAACCTCTTAACCTTATTTAACCCTACAGAGGTTAAATACCCGAGTGTCCCAATCAGGAGATAATGCGCTATAATTCAACAACAACACAACAAACTACTACCTAAAAGATAATAGTTTTGAACAACTGAACAACTCTCTAAAACAGTTTCAACAAAAACTGAACATTATAACTTGTACAAAAGGTAAGAGTTATTGCTGCACTGTAGTAGTAGTAGTATAGTAGGCCTATATATTTTGATACATCACCATACAGTGTTTAATTTTTATATTCAAGAAAGTGAGCAGACATAAATTATGTTAGTGCACTTAGTACCCTAAGTAACCATTCAGTAAAATGATCATATTGATAATGCCAAGTAATAGTGAAAAATGCCCATCACAGTTTTGTAAAGATCAAAGTGACACATTGAAACTGCTTGTGTTTTGGCCAACCGAAAGATTTTCAATTTACTATCACACAAGGCAAATAAAAGTAGGAAATCCTTACATTTGAGAAGGTGTAACTATAGTGAATGTTTTGTGTTTTTGTCTGAAACTTTGACCTAAAAGATTTATTGAGTGTAAAATAATTGTTGACTAAATGTCTGTCGATTGACTAATTGTTTTAGCTCTAAATGAGATTGGTGTGTGTCCAGATTGTTTTATAAACTTAACTTCTTCTTCTTTAACCATATCAAATTGCAAGAAGATTCATTTTTCAATAATCCATCTTTTAAAAAGCCTCTTGAGTGTTGATGCATCTTTTCTCCTGTAAGGCCACTTTTGAACTTTAATTTGACTGTTTTAAATTTCTCCAGTGTCATCGCTCCAGTTGATTTAATCATTAGTAGTCATTGTAACAGGATGTTTCTAACATTACATACAACATGGTCAATAGAAGCTGTAGACTTAAATAAGGAAATACAAGAGCCAAATGTTTCTGTTTAAAAAGGGAAATGAGTCTCAATGTCACACACAGGTATGATGCTCAGTAAATAGCATTCATGGTCTTTTTTTGGGTAAAACATGCCTTTGTGTTTACATTTCATTATTTGTCAACCAAGTCAAAAAAAACAAATTATAAAACAAGCACTTGTTACTGCGGGTTTTAACCAAAACCAGTAATTTTAGATATAAAAGTTTGGTGACAACTTGCTGGACATGAATCATACTTCTAGTTCAGATTGTGTTGTACTCTGCTGTTATTTATGTTGTGGATCAATCATATTCCCATACCTCCTACCTCCTCCTCCTCCTTGTCATGTGTCTTCCCCTCCCTGCAGGTTCAGGTCGCCTACCTCCAATGATGCACCGTCAGACGGCCCCGGAAGGTCGAAGTCAGAGGGCCGCAGGCTCTAGCTTCTCCAGAGCACACAACTCTGAGGCTGTAGCCAGGGCCAAGGGAGCAGGAACGGGGGCAGGGACCGGGGGTAAATCCAACCTAGCAGGACAGATCATCCCTGTGTACGGCTTTGGGATCTTACTCTACATCCTCTACATACTTTTTAAGGTGAAACACTGGAGACTCAACGCACAGCTTCTGAATGATAAACTGTATAGACAGAATAGTAGAGCCAGGCTAGCAATATTCCCCCGTTTCCAGTCTTTGTGCTAAGCTAAGCTAACCATCTGACAGTGGTAGATTTAATATTTATCATTCAGTTTTGAGAGTGGTATCGATCTTATTTAACTCTCAGCAAGAGAGCAAATAAGCTTATTTCCCAAATGTCAAACTATTCCTTAAAAATACAATACTGGGTATTGATCTTCAGTACTGTTTTGCTACAGACAGAAATGTGTCTGCAGCACTGACTATCAAAAACTGTCAAGTACCAAAAGCTGGCAATGTTGAATGGTCAGAGTTGTAATCTTGATAAATGTTTCTTTTTCTTGTTCTTGATTAATTATATGATCAGACATTTAATGATTTAAATAAACAAATTCCAATTGTAGAGAATTATTTTTAGCTACTTGTGTTAAAGGCAGGGATTGTATTGGTGCCACTATAAACAAATTTAAAAGGATACCCAGCCCTGATTCAAAGTAAAATCTGGTAAAGTCTTTTAAATTGCAGTATGTAATGAAACCATAAAGAAAAAAATAATGAACAGATTACTTTAATAATACTGTGATACTAGCTGTTTGCAAGTGGTTTGACACTCTGCTGTGGGATTTGTTTCAACAATGTTCTTGTCTCCCTGTTAGATCACATCTAAAGGGAACAGCAAGCCACCGGAGAGCAGGTTTCCTTCGGTACGGTCTGAGAACATGAAGAGAAAGATCAGTGAGTATTTTTTATACAGTCTATGGCATCATTCAACATCAATTATAGCCATTCTTTTAGCATTTAGCAACCTTAAACACTTACTCCATTCTCATTTCTTTAATGAAAAGGCACTTGCACCGAAGCCCTCTGATGCATTTAGCTCTTGTTTATTTAGTGTTTGAATAGACTTATTACATGCACTTACAGTATCTCACAAAAGTGAGCACACCCCTCACATACGACAACACTGAAGAAATGACACTTTGGTTTAGACATTAATGGCTGTGTGATGTGTTATTTTGAGGGGACAGCACTGTTATACAAGCTGTACACTCACTACTTTATATTGTATCATAGTGTAATTTCTTCAGTGTTGTCACATGAAAAGATATAATGAAATATTTACAAACATGTGAGGGGTGTGCTCACTTTTGTGAGATACTGTATTTTCCTAAATTTCTTAGCATACTCTGCTACAGCACAGTGTTGTCACGCTTGGCAAGTTTTGATGTAAAAAAAGTCACATACAGGAGTTATTGGGCAAGTGGAAAAAATGTCAATCACATGAATAAAAACCCATCAATGAACATTTCCTTTAAATTAATAAAAGCTTTTCTCTACCTCTCTGAGTGTCACATCTGCATTAAATCACATCCAGTCTCAGAAATATCTATAGCTGACGTTCATCTAGTGCATTAACGTAATGAGAAATAGATTAATGTTAGTTATTTTCTGGCATATTGATTCCCATAAAGCACCGTACAGTAAGATGAACTGCAAGCCACCCAGTCTGTGAAAACAAGAACTGTACATTTCCCAAATGATTGTAACCGCCTATGCTTTTGTGCGGTGGTCGATTTTTGTCTACTCTGAGCTCAGATTGTGTTTAAACTTTCTTTCTTTTCCCTTTTTCTCTCCAGCTGACTTTGAGTTGGCTCAGCTGCAGGAGAAACTGAGGGAAACGGAGTTGGTGATGGAGAATATAGTTTCCAACGCCCACCACAGTCCTGACAGGTGGGTGTGTGCCTTTTCCTGACAGGAATGACTTGTTTGGTTGAACTTATTTGTTTATTTGTTAAATTTAATTACGTGTGCAATCATCATCAACAAACATGACACTCCCTTGAAGTAAAATATTAATGCAGAGATCATTTCCTTTCGTCATGTTGTTCTGCAATTTGTTCTCTCCCTTTTCTATAATGATGATTACTGAATGTGGGTTGTTTTAACACTTGCACGTGTTATCTTCAATGACTGGGTTGCGTTTTCTACAATCTTATTAGTTAAGCATTTAAAAAGTGTACTACTTGTTTGGTAGGCTGTAATTAGGATGTTTGAAAGTATTTATTCTTTTGAGAGTTTTATAATCATCTTTAATTAATCATAACGTTAATCTGTTCTACGTAATGTTACGTAAAAAAATGAAGCATCTTGTTTGTTCTGACAGAGTCCTAAATTCAATCAAATGATCAGTATATTAGTATAGCAAAGAAATGTACGGCTGATTAGGGTTAAATGTAAATGTAAGGAAGAATAAGGGAAACAGTTAGATCGGTCTGACTCACAACATTAGTTATTAGACACTAAAATGCTCCACGGTTCAGGAATAGCAGATGTGCTGGATAGTTTAGTTTTCTGTGTGTGCTGCAGGGTGAAGGGGGTGACGGCGGATCAGGAGGAGAGCCTCCTGCTGCAGCTGACGGAAATAACTCGTGTGATGCAGGAGGGCCAGCTGGTGGACAACGTGGCTGCAGAGAAGAAGACCCAGGATGACTGGGAAGGTACATGTATGTTCACAGTGGTAAATTTATAATGTAACATGAAATAAGAATTAGATTTTACCCACAGAAACAACACAATTTATTTTAAAATACTGTTATATCACCACTTTAGAGGATCACGAGAGACTTTGCATGTTTTAGTCCCTTTTAGAATAGTGTTTCCTTTCATATTATTACAGTATGAAACATAACTTTAAACAACCGGTAATGTTTTGTGTGGTAATGTAGTTGTGAGCAGAAACCTTCTTTTTTTTTGCACTTTAATGAACCAAAAAACAAATGGCGCCTGTGGTTAATTCCACTATCTAATGGTAACGTTTTTGATGCTCAAAGAACAAAATTCACATTATTATTATTATCATGGTTTTGTCTTTTGGGTTTGATTTTTCAGTGCAATGCTTTTCTGCAGCAAACACTCAAATATTCAATCTCCATGCTGTTTGAAAGCATTTCAACTAGGAAGAGATCTCAAAGTTTCCATGCAATAAAATAATGTAACTTTCTACAAAAATTTAAAGCAAAATGCTGCTCTTTGTAATGGTTAACTTTCTGACTTTTTTAACAAATAACACTTGCTTGAAATGATGATGATGGCACTGGCAAATGACAAGGTAATTCAAAATGTAAACAATCTTTTTTTCTTATATATATACTATAAAAATATTTTAAAAAGTGGTAGATAAAGAGAATAATGTGAAGCAAAATTTAAAATCATGCACCAAACCTCTCTAAACTAAAAAACAAACAAACAAACACTATTACTAAGCATGTACTAAGTGATTCATTTTGATTCTGAATTTGCATGAACCAGTGGCTACTGGATGGCAGGAAACCAGCTTAAAATACTAGTAAATTAATAGTACACATGATTTAATTAGTGGGCCAAAAACAAATTTCAGTTCCGCAGTAATACTGGAAAATTTAAGTGCACAAAACCATAGTCTGATTTTCTGTTTCTGGTTATGTTCAGATTTAAAATGTTGTTTTTGGTATTATAAGTTCTTGTGTCAGGACTCCAAACATGGTATTAGTACAACTGGGCAAATATTGATTACACTGTGCTCAGTTGCTAGATTAAATCAGGCAATGGATTTTTGATATACACTTCCAGCATAGCAAAGTTGGTTGATCAAGGAAATGCTGATCTATTAACGACTTGTTAAATTCTGTCTGCAGATTATCCTGACGAGCCTCAGCAGTACTGGGAACATTCCCGCTGCTGTTGTCAGCACAGTCAGGAGCACCACAGTCCACAGACCGAGACACAGGCTGAGAGGACACAAGCTGATGGCACCGACCTGCAAAACAATCCTGACAATGTTACAGGTGGAGGAGAGGCTGAGGAAGCAGAGGCTCTGAATGAAGACGAAGTGAGAGAATCGGACGTTACAGCAGTAAGTGAAGAGGATGTGAGGCCAGAGGGTGATTTAGGCGCAAGTGAGAGGGTGGACGTGCATGAACACAAGGAGGGAGGGGGTAAGATCGATCTGGGTGTACCAGAGGAGGAGCTGGCTGGAGTCCTGAAGGAGCTGGAGCTCACACTGAAGATGACGTCCACGATGGAGCAGGAGAAGATGGAGGACCTCACCAGGTCGACGGAGACAGAAACACCCTGCAGCGCGGTCAGACGGAGGAACAAGAGGAGGAGAGCAAAGAAAGCCTCACACTGATTTCTAACATGACTGCATATAAACTCAAACCTAATGTTTGTGAGAACAGCTTCTTTTTAAATTTCCATCAGGTGGGCAGAAGCACGATTGTTGGTGAATGCATGAAAATGTGTTGCCGGCTTTGTTTACCTTTACTTGAAGTGAATAAGTGATAAAATGTGTGTTCGGGGCACAGTTTTATATCACTAACATCAGCTTTATCCATTGGCTGATAAACACGTATAGTTTACGTACGTATAGGGAAAATATATATAGTTCATGGTCTCAAAATTTAACAGAAGAAAAACAAGGGTCTCATTTAGAAAATGGTCACAAGCTATGATGATTATTAATGCTGCTTAACGCATAAATTCAGTATGTTTTAACTTAAACTTAAGCTAACATCGTGATGCTTCCAGGACTCCTCTAGGTCAAGATTTGATTAAATAAGTGTGCTCAAATGTTTGACACCCTGTCTGTGAACAAACCCACTATTTAATTCTGTTGAGTAATTCACATTTTGTGTCATGACCTTTTATCAACCCAATTTCAGGTAAAATTAATTTGTGTTATATGCTTGAATTAAAGATGGTTTTAAAATATGTAAATGAAAAGCAAAAAGCAGAAATTAGTTATTTCAGCTTAGATGAGGACAAAGGAAAAGAGAAATGATTTCACTTCACTGTAATTTACTGGGGTGGTTGTGCCTTTTCTCATCTTTGTCAGAATGTGCCGAACTAACAAAACACTAATCAAAGTACAATCATGTTAAACTTCCTGCAGTCTTAAGTCCTAGATGAACATTTTTGCAGACAATAATCTGAATTCCATTTAACACCCGTAAGTGTAAAGAGATCCAACAAATGTCCTGTACTAATTTAAAGAAACGGGGACCTTTCAACATAAAAACTTCCCCAATCTTATCAGTGTTGGTGGAGATTTTATGGCAGTAACATTTAAAGCTTTTAACAAACCTGCTCTTTTGTGCATCTAATTATTTTTCTTTTATAAATTGAATTTGTTTGTTCACTTTTTGGAAACGCACCTGGAATGCATATCAGTAATTAAAATACTGTGAATACCTTAAATAAAACATTTGAGTTTTACTTATTCCTCTTCAAGGCCTTTCAGTTTCATTTATTTTCCTCTGAATTGTCACAAAATCATAACTGAGGCTCAGACTCCTCAGACTACCTAGTTTGTTGCCTGCAATGTTGCTCATGTAGATATTGAATTTTTTTTTTTTTTTTACTGTAGCCAAGTCAGCTAAATGTGTATTAAATAGACAACTACTGTCATTAAGAGCAGCAGCAAAATTCAAAAAAAGAGTTTATTCCTTGTATAATGGTACACTTTACTCATACAAAAGCAACATCACATTGGTTGATGTCAGCAGAGAATATTTTGAATTTAACAGTTTAGCAAGTGGCACATAACAAGAACTTTCCCCTCTAAGAGTTAGTACTCTGGTGAGTTGCAGTGTCAGGTTGGTTTGAGCCCAGCCCCTTTGATAACAGGAAGTAAATTGACAGGACTGCCTCAGTGCTCCATTGGCTCATCAGATGCCGGTCCAGCAGCGGGTTCATCTGCCGGCTGGGCAACCTGAGACACAAACAGGAGACTGGTTTAGCACACAAACTTCAGGGTCTGTCCAACATTGAAATTAATGTTCAACAATACAAAATATCTAAAATAGAAAATCTGAGTTGTTTAGTAGATGCATCTCTAAATTTCACATTCATATTAACACTATGCAACTGGTTAATTACCGTGGTGATGACTGAAGTGAGAGCTGGAATTAAATCTTACTAGGTGCGAACTGTGTAATGTGGCCAAATGCAAAATAACCAACTGTGTTCAGAAGATAAGAGTTCTAGTTTGGACTAATCACATCAATCACACTGTGCAGCACAACAACAACAAAAAAATTAATAATGCATTCCTCAAATTAAACCCAGCAAGTCCAAACTGGACTTCATAAAATCCTTGCACCGGTAGCAGTACCTTTCTCTGTGGCCTCTCCTCCAGTCCCTCCAGGAACGGGGCGACATCATCATCGTCATAAATGACAAACTCCATGTCCTTCCCCACAATGCCAATAGAAACATTCTGAAAGAATGAGAAATATACCTAAGAAATGACCAGTATACCATTATATTTAAAAGATTTATGTTGCTGTTGTTCAGTGAGAAACGTGAGCTCCAGCTAGCATATTGGAGATCTATGAGATATTCTGGTTTTGAACTGCCCGTGGGAGGAATGTACATGTAAAAATCTGTACATTCTTGATTAAAAGTCATGTGAAATCTCTTTTATCTTTCGTCTCCTCAATTCGGGTGTTTCCAAAACGTCTCTGGTGAATCTCGCGGACTCGACTCGCAAGCATCGGTATGCACAGATTTGATTGGCTGAGCAGCGTCACATGAGACGATTGGAGCACATGCGATTGGTCTGTGAGTTTCCTGGTCCTCTAAACCAGTACAGTAAATGCTAGAAAAGCTGCGCGGCTTAAAATAGAAACGCTCCGTCACGAGGTAGTAAGTCTCAATAATAAATGGGCTGTAGGTCGGCGGTCCGGAGAGCGCGGCGGCTGGGTCCAGATCCGGACCGCGGTCCGCCTATAGTGACCTCTGTTCTAGTTGTTCGAGTGACATGCATCCTCTGACATACAGAGTAATTGTATGTCGTTTTGGATAAATGAGTAAAATGTAATATAAATGTAAAGATTTAGATCCTCAATCCCACCTAGGGTTGGGCTTTGATAATGTTTTACTGAGTCTTGTACAATTACTTAGAATGCATTTAGGTTTGCTTTCATCTATTGCAATGAAATTATCAATAACATTGAAGGAGCAAAAACTAATTTTACAAGAAAAATCACAAAATTGCCATTTGGCCATATTTTGATAGGAGGGGGTTGAGATTTTTGTTTTTTATCCTACAACCCTAGGATAATGCTCTGGCTTAAGTAACATACTTCTGTCTTGGTGGACAGACTAAGGTTTCATCACAGGCAGGTCAAGTGCAAGTCTCATTTAAGACACATATGAAGACAAATACAATTGCTTTTGTGCACTAGGATTTGTGTAGCAGACTGTCATGTCAGACAAGAGTGGAGAGTTTGTGTACCTTGGTAGTAAGATCCTGCTCAGCGGGGAGGGTTTCTCTGAGAGCACGGAGGCCATGTTGGACCAATCGTTCAGATTACCTGAGAACAAAACAATACTTTCTTAATGTAAGCATTTCCATTTGTCAGTCAGCAATAGGTGCCTGTCCATGTTTGAGCTATAGGTTTGCTAAATGAGATCTCTAAGAATACTGATGAGGTGATGGCTAAAATATTTAAATATAATGACACTGTAATTAGGACATGTAAAATCCAAACAAAAAGTTAAAACCTGACCTGTAAAGATACAAAAACATTTATGTTCAGTTACAAAATGTGCCACTGTGAAGCTCTTAGTTCAAACTGCTTTCTTTGAAATATGAATGGACAAGGCTAGTGATAGAAATTTCAGTCATTCTTACAGTCATGAAACTTGTCCATGCATCTCTCCAGGTAGGTTCGTGCAGACTGAGAGCGTGCTCCGATGGACATGGCTTTGCAGTCAAAGTAGTTGGCTGATGGGCAGGTCTGGAAGATGTGAGGTCCCATGTCCTGGATGCCGCAAAAAAAAAAAAAAAACAGAGTTGAGTTATGTTCAAATTATAAATTCCAACTTATAAAAAGGCATTTATTCTTGCAGAGGAGAACAAGAACTTAAGCAGCTTTGATACTATAGACAAATACAAGTGTTAATATTTGCGTGAGAAAACTTACATCATAGCCAGCAATTAGAAGTCCAACACCATAGGGCCTCCTTCCATACCTCTGTGTTGGGATTTGGGTTTCTGAAGGTTCAGTTCAAGATTTTTGCTGCCATTCAAAATTATTTTACTTCATAGAGTTACAGTTACACTTATTACACAACAGGCTAGTAACCACTGATAAAACACATGTATCTATAAATAAAATATAGCACCACATTTTTACTACAGTGCTTCAAAATAATAGTGAGGATACTGCTGCCAATAAGAGAGACGAGACGTGACGCAGGTAGGGGCCTGTCGAAGACAAATCTTGAGTCCAAGCACTCCTGACGCATGAAATTACTGTGGGAGAGAGGGTGTTTGTATAATTTAAGTCCAATTACATTTGTTGATTCACATGTTCATTTGGAAAGCTTTATTCAGACCACCAAAGTAGCTGTGACCTACCAGAGCAGTCTAGCATCAGCAGTCAGTCCAGCGATGGAGATGCCGATGTGGTTGTCGACATGGAGGATCTTCTTCTGGTGGGCAGCCAGTTCAGACTGGGCTCTCTGCAGAAACACGAAAACATGACAACAATCATGCATGATTAAATACTTGTCCTTTGTCACTAATGAACTGCTCCATGCTTTGTTGTGCGATACAATATATGTAAATGTTCCATTAAATAATTACCTTTAGTGCAACCAGGACTGCATGAGTTTTGGATTTGAGTCCTACAGTTGCAGAACCCTGCTTCACCGCCTCCATGGCATACTCGATTTGATGAATACGGCCCTGGAACAATAATTATTATTATTATAGATATTTTGCTACAGCAAGTCAGTGACGCAGACATTCATTTTCTTCAAGTCAGAGAAAGACAGAAGTTAAAGCAAACAACGACTTACCTGTGGGCTCCATACCGTCACATCGTTGTCGTACTGATTGCGGAACTAAAGACAAAAACAAGCCATCATTTGAAAGTGACATTAAAAAAAGTATTCTTATATATATCACACAAGAGCTGAGCTTACATAGTTGTCTTGCATTATCAGCGGTATTCCTCAGCTACAGACTACTTCTCACAGACTCTGAGCTCCGACTACACAAAGCTCTGAGCCTGCTAACACTGACAGCCAAGACTTTTCTAGACTCAGGTTTTAAATTACTGCAACGACTGAATAATTGATCAACCCTGCTTTGTGCACTGCCACTTAAGTTACCAAAGAGAATTATGCAACCGAGCTCAAGCATCATACTAGCCAATGTTGTTGATAGTGATGTTCAGCGCTGGGTAACGTTTCCAATTTGACTTAACTTGGTCCCGCAGAAAGCTAGCTAACATTAATTGGACACATCAAGACGGTACAAACATTTGATGAATCGTTACAGTGACCAGTGATTGGAGGTATAACGTTTTGGCTTCAGAATAGAAGTTATCAGCCTGAAGCCAAAGCCCGGTGAGCTGAGGGAAAACGAAAGTAAAAGACATGATACTCCAATTTAATGCTAGCTCAGCCTATGCTGGCTAACGCCTGCTAGCTAAGTTGCGGCAGCCTGCAAACTATCTAAAAAGTAAACTAATTAGCAACGCTATTATGACACTTTAAACTTGGTTAATTGTAAAGATTATTTCATGTGTTATAGTCCCGACAAGTATTAGCCGTGAACAGTTTCTTTGGACTCACGTCATTTAGCTGACATCCACGCAGCTAACGTTAGCAGTTACTGAAGGTGTTTTGCTTACTCACAGTGCAGTCAAAAGTTAGCTAGCTAATGTTAGCTTCGTGCGAGCAAATTCACCCCGGTTTCTAGGTTTCCTAATAAATTATACAACACGAACACACTGTGCGTTGTATTTACTGTGTAGATATATTATATAATGTTAAATAGAACCATGTCTGTCAAATTTCATTCAGACTTACCATGTCTGCCTTTCAAAGTCTCTTATTTCCTCCGCCGCTTGTACTGTGATCCTAACTTGATTTATTTTCCTGGACGCGACGTCAGGGAAAACAGCGGAGCCCCGATTTCAAATCAGTAATCGATTGAGTGACATTGTGGTTGGCTAAACGAGCTGGTTGTTAGTTAGTTGGTTGGTTAGTCGTTATTTAATTTTATGAATTTAAAAAGCTGAATAATCAAAACGAGTACATTTATCAATAAAGTAGAACGCAATTCTACATTTTTTAAAATGTATTTTCACTTCAGATCAAAGATACGATCATCAAGACAGCAATG